GGAATGGACCTCAGCTTGCCAAAAAGATGCACACTCATACTCATGAAGTGCTTTGCATTTTTGTCCACTTACAGCTCTTAGCACACCTGTTCTGCTGGCTAAAAGAATGGTGAGTTATTGCTGGGCATCAGCAGTGATGAAGGAGGTGATCTCAGAGGAGCTTTCATCACTGCTATTAGATCGAGAGAGCCATGCATGTGCTTCATGCATCTGTCAAGCTAACACAAAGCCACATTAAAACTCTTATGTATGATCATAAGAACTATTTATATAGAACTGAGATTATTGAAATATTAGGATATTTGATACTTTCACTAAATCACACCTTTGAAATTATATTTTCATAATCTATTTAGAGACTTAGACTTGAAAACAAATGTTTTGTTATCATTCCAAGGAACAGTATGAAATCATCCATCATGCTATGTTTGCACTGTTTTTTAATCTGTGAGTTTTTAATCTTTCGCCACAGAGACTACAACTCTGTTCCAAAACCAAGTGTGCTGTCTTGCTGTCAAATGCCTACACAGACAGCTGCCTTCTAAGGGGCCGTTCATAAAGGAGGATGATACTTCAATTCCACTAAAAGCTAAATGCAGGAATAGAACAGAATCCAGTTATCAAATGCATTTTAATATTTTTTTTACATCATTTAATTAGACAGACTTTAAAAATGTGACACAAAAGCTGCAAGACTTGAAAACTGCAAGACTTTCATTACATAGATTATTTTACCTACATTTTTAAAATAACAGTGAACATGTAGGCAAGAATGCTGTGCGCTAAATTAGCATCCTGACTGAAATAGAACTCATCAGAATGCTTGATCTTGAATGCAATGCAAGTTGCTTTGAAAAAAAAATCTGCTAAATGAATAAATGCAATAGCCTAGCTGATTTCAGTAGTTTGCCATTAGCATGGTAAGGTGTCAATCTGATAAGTAAAAAAGAAACAAAAGATACATTCCCGCGACAAGCAATATCTGTGTGATAATCCTTCAAAGGTTGAATTTCAAGACTGAATGTGTCACAGCGGCTCAGCGAAGGCTGTCCTGTTTTGAAGCTTTCTTCAAATGCAGCCTCGAAACGCGTCCTTTGTTTCCCGAGTCATGAAGGATACAACGAATGGATCCATAGATCTATAGATTTATTGCACATCATTGATGACAGGATGTTTTGAGAGAAAATGTCGGATTACATATTTAAATGTAAGTATTAAGTTTCAATTTACTCAAATGTCTAACAAAACACGTTTAAACACACACGCACACTTTAAAGTGGTTCAAATGTTGACTTAGATCTTACAAAGATGTGATTTCATAGATTTATATTTTTTATTATATTCATAAATGGACCAAAGTGGACAAGTTTACACAGGTTGTGAACCCTTTTTGGTTTTCAGACAGTTGAACATCAATTTCAGAAATGTCCGTTACAAATATCACTTCAACAAGATCAGTCCTCTGTAGGCTGGACTGTCCCATTTAACAGCACTCTGTTCAACTTTTGCAGACTCGGAGGTGTGGCGACTGGCCAGGTATCCTTCTAAGCCCCTGAATTGGGACAGCTAATTTTCTGTCCACAAAAGAAGCAGCAAATCAATCAGAAATCACAGCCAATCAGAAGAGCTTGTGGGTGGAGCTGTCTCTGCAAGTGCACTGATGTCTCACATGAGTACATAAAATTAATGATTTTTACATCATGCAAAATGCAAACTCAGTGACTGATAAAATATTTGTCATGAAATACTTTCTTCCCACAGATTTTACATTTTGAGCATTGTTGCTTCCTTTAAGTTATTGTTAAAGGGGCTGTATGTAATTTTTTGACTGTATTAAAGCATAAAAATATAATAATATAGCCTATTTGCAGATATTTAGGAAACATATTAAGTTCAAATACTTTTTTCTCCAAAAAACAATGCTACAGCCAGTTATTTTACTGTGTTGGAATGTCTGTTTTTGTTTTGGTCTGTGTGATTCCGCCCACTGCCAATTTACCCAATAGTATTTCGACACCCCAGGTTGCCAGGTTGCGTCTCCCCAACCTGGCAACCCGCGTGATCATGGAGTCTGAGGAGCAGGCAGGAGAAACAACTCTCTCCAGTATTTTGAATTTAGACTGCAGTGCCCATTTCAACCGCTAGTTGTTTTAAAGTCACACAAAAATGATATTCCATCTCAAACCATTTTGATATTGTACAAAACACACAAATACCTGAAATTCATGAGCTGGTTAGGACAAAATCTGATTAACATGAAAAAGATACCTTTAATTGCGTCACATCATGCTTGGATTGGACGCACAAAATCAGAGGGTAATACTGTCACTTTTAAGTTGACGATATACTTTCCTGTACTGAATAAATGCTAATCATATATTTATTTTTTTATTGACTATCTTGGATAAATTTGTCACTAAGCTCATCACAATGCATTCTGGCATTGCATTGTTCTTTATGAATCTACAATTTGGCTCAAATTAGGCAGTTGGAAACGTCATTTCTGGTGGGAGAGTGTCTTAAAATGCTGTCTCTGTAGCTCACTAGGTTTTGGGACAAAGCCTACAACTCTTATGATGCAGTATGTAGATGAATTGAACAGTGGTCCTTGCAGTTTTAAAGTGCAAGTGCAGTGTGTTTTCTAACGTGTGTGATGACGCAGGAAGCCATGCTCTCAGGAGATCTTCAGGACGTCCTCATGAGGAATGTGCATGACCTTTGACCTGTATAGAGGGTGTCAGCTGCAGATCGAGGGCTCTGTGAAGCGCAGCTGATTCCACACATCCTGACTATTGACACCAGCATGTGCAAGATGAAGACTTGCGTTGCCTCAGCTTAATAGATTGTCCATGTCTTTGGAAATTTTGAATAAGAACCTTTCAAAAGCTTTTCTAAGTGAGACTTTTTTTGAGGTGAAGTTTTATAAAGCATTACTTAATTGTGTAAATGGTTCTTTTACGAGTTTATAATGTGTCAGTGTTGCTATAATATCTTTTTCTGTAAACATATCCTCACACTCTGTTTTGCTTGTCCCGATGAGTCAGTCATTGAGGAACAAATTCCATTACAGTGCTGTGGAAAAAACAACCCTTCCATCATACACACTACACACACCCAACGTCCTGCTGACTCACTGCACCCTCTTATCCATCTTTGGCATTATATGATGTTTACAAGCTCCCTGGTCTGAACACAGGTCATTGGACCGACATAGACAAACATATAAAGCATTTAATGAGGTTTCTTTATTTAAAACTGTGGAACACTGGTTTTTAATTGATACATTACTGGATTTTGACATTTCTTAAGAAAGTGAGTGATGCATGCTATACAAAAGTAGCATATGTGGGTGACCTTCCATTAATGGATGTCTAAGGATTTTTTAAAAATTATATTATCTAATATAATATTTTATATTATATTATCTACAGTTGTTGTTTTTTAAATGGGTCATCGGATGCCCATTTTCCACAAGTTGATATGATTCTTTAGGGTCTTAATGAAAAGTCTATAACATATTTTGTTTACAAATTCTCAATGGTAGTGTAAAAAACACCCTTTTTACCTTGTCAAAATTAGCTCTGTTTTCAGCAAGCCGTTTTAGTCCATTTTGCTTTAAATGCTAATGAGCTCTGCTCACCCCGCCCCTCTCTTCCGTGGGTGACGAGCCATCTCATGGTACTGTTTACTTTAGCCGCAGAACTTGCTAACTAACACATTATTAGGAAAGGCGAGTTGCAAAGATTCATAAAAGGACCTTATACTCACTTTTTCACGAATGATTCGCGCGAACATAAACGCATTTAGGCAGATCGGGATCGGCGCATTCCCTTCAAAAACGAAAGAACATGTAAAGTCAATTTTGCATCCGATGACCCTTTTAATATACTCACAAGATTTGAAGTACACTATAAGTGCAAATTCAATGCAATTAAATACACTTCTGAGAGGTTCTCTTCAAAATAAAGGTTCTTCAATGTTATTGGGTTCAGTAAAGAATCATTTTTACTGCATAGGGTTCTTGAGGTGACTATGTGGATCTTTGGTTTCTCAAAGATTATTCGTTTGGCTTCTGGGCTTTTTTAAAGGGGCCATATGATGCTGCTAAAATGAACATTATTTTGTGTATTTGGTGTAATGAAATGTGTTTATGCGGTTTAAGGTTAAAAAAAAACATTATTTTCCACATACTGTACATTATTGTTTCTCCTCTATGCCCCGCCTTTCTGAAATTGTCGATTTTTACAAAGCTCATCGGTCTGAAAAAGCGAGGTGTGCTGTGATTGGCCAGCTATCCAGTGAGTTGTGATTGGCCGAATACCTCAAGCGTGTGACGGAAATGTTACG